CCACACACATAATACTACACCACCATACACTACCACACCACCACACATAATACCACACCACCACACACTGCTTCCACACACCACCACACACACACTGCTCACACCACCAGACACTGCTCACACCATCATACACTGCCCACACCACCACACACTGCTCACACCATCACACACTGTTCACACCACCACACACTGCTCACACCACCAGACACTACTCACACCATCACACACTGCTCACATCACCACACACTGCTCATACCACCTCACACTGCTCACACCACAACACACTTTTCACACCACCACACACTGCTCACATCACCACACAGTGCTCACACCATCACACACTGCTCACACCACCACACACTGCTCACACCACCACACACCGATCACACACCACCCACTGCCCACACCACCACACACCGCTCCACACCATCACACACTGCCCACATCACCACACTGCCCATACCCACCTGACACTGCCCACACCACCACACACCTCACACCACCACACACCCCACACCACCACACACTGCCCACACCACCACACTGCCCCATCACCACACACCCTGCTCACACCATCACACACCTCCTCCACACCACCACACACCCCAAGACAACCACCACACACCGCCCACACACACTGCACACCACCACACACTGTCTACACCCACCCCACGCCCACACCACCACACACCCCCCACACCACCACACTGCCTCACACCACCCACACACTGCTCACACCACCACACACTGCTCACATCACCACACTGCTCATACCAACCTGACACTGCTCACACCACCACACCTCCCTCACACCCACCACACACCTCACACCACCACACACTGCTCCACACCACCACACACTGCTCACACCACCACACACTGCTCACAGCACCACACACTGCCTCACACCATCACACACTGCTCACACCACCCCACACTGCTCACACACCACACACTGCCCACACCATCACACACTGCCTCACACCACCACACACTGCTCCACACCACCACACTGCTCACACCACCACACACACCACCACACCATCACACACCTCACCACCACCACCACACACTGCTCACACCACCACACACTGCCCACACCATCCTCACACACTGCTCACACCACCACACACCTGCTTATGCACCATCACACTGCCCACACCACCACACACTGCCCACACCACCACACACTGCCCACACCCTCACACACTGCTCCACACCACCACACACTGCTCACACCACCACAAACTGCTCACACCACCACACACTGCTCACACCACCAGACACCACTCACACCATCACACACTGCTCAAACCATCACACATTGCTCACACTCACCACACTGCTCACACCACCACACACCGCCCATACCACCAACATTGCTCACACCACCACACTGCTCACACCATGCACTGCTCACACCACCACACACTGCTCACAGCACCACACACTGCTCACACCACCACACACTGCTCACACCACCACACACTGCTCACACCCATCTCACACACTGCTCACACCACCACACACTGCTTATACCATCACCACACTGCCCACACCACCACACACTGCTCACATCACCACCCAATGCTTACACCAACACAAACTGCTCCACACCATCACACACTGCTCACACCATGACACACTGCTCACACCCACCACACACTGCCTCACACAACCTCACACTCATGACACCACCCCCACACTGCTCCACACCACCACACACTGCTCACACCACACCACACACTGCCCATACCACCTCACACCGCCTCACACCACCACACACCTCTCACACCACCCACACACTGCTCATCGCCACACACACTGCTCACACCATCCACACTGCTCACACCACCCCACACTGCTCACACCACCACACACTGCTCACACCACCACACACTGCTCACACCACCTCACGCACTGCTCACACCACCACACACTGCTCACACCATCACACATTGCCTCACACCACCACACACTGCCTCACACCACCACACTGCTCACACCATCTCACACACTGCTCAACCACCACCACAACTGATTATACCCATCACACACTGCTCACACACCACACACTGCTCACACCATCACATTGCTCACACATACCATACACTGGTCACACCAACACAAACTGCTCACACCATCACACACTGCTCACACCACTACACACTGCTCACACCATCACACATTGCTCACACTACCACACACTCCGCTCACACCAACAAACTGCTCCACACCATCACACACCGTGTTCACACCACCACACACTGCTCACACCACCAGACACCACCACACCATCACACTGCTCACATCACCACACACTGCCCATACCCCACCTCACACTGCCCACACCACAACACACTTTCACACCACCACACACTGCTCACATCACCACACAGTGCTCACACCATCACACACTGCTCACACCACCACACACTGCTCACACCACCACACTGCCTCACAACACCACCATACTGCTCACACCACCTCACACTGTTCACTCCATCACACACTGCCTCACACCATCACACATTGCTCACACTCACCACACACTGCTCACACCATCACACTGCTCACACCACCACACACTGCTCACACCACCATACACTGCTCACAACACCACACTCGTTCACACCACCTCACACTGTTCCATCGATCACACACTGCTCACACCACCTGACACTGCTCACACCACCACACACTGCCCACACCACCTCACACCACCTCACACTGATCACATCACCCACACACTGCTCACACCACCACACACTGCTCACACCACTACACACTCCTCACACCACCACACACTGTTTACTCCACCACCCCTGCCCACACCATCACACACTGCTCACACCATCACACACCTCACACTACCACACACTGCTCACACCACCACACACTGCTTACATCACCATACACTGCTCACAACACCACACTGCTCACACCACCTCACACTGTTCACTCCATCACACACTGCTCACACCACCTCACACTGCTCACACCACCACACTGCTCACACCACCACACACTGTTTATCAGCAGACCACACATTGCTCACACCACCAAACACTGTCCAGACCACCACACACTGCCTCACACCACCACACACTGCTCACAACACCACATTGCTCACACCACCTCACACTGCTCACTCCATCACACACTGCTCACACCATCACACACTGCTCACACTACCACACACTGCCTCACACCATCACACACTGCTCACACCACCACACACTGCCCACACCACCATACACTGCTCACAACACCACACTGCTCACACCGCTCACACTGTTCATCTAATCACACACTGCTCACACCACCCAACACTGCTCACACCACCACACACTGCTCACACCACCTCACACCACCTCACACTGATCACATCACCACACACTGCCTCACACCACCACACACTGCTCCACACCACCACACTGCTCACATCACCAC